CCATCATTCAAGCGTTCACGACCACCTGAAGAAGCTGGGATATGTAAGCAAGCTCGATATTTGGGTTCCGCATGAACTCAAAGAAGTTCATTTGACGGCACGTATAAACATCTGCAATATGCTCATTAAATGTGAGGAAAACGATCCTCTTTTGAAGTGACTGATAACTGGTGATGAGAAGTGGATTGTTTACAACAACGTGGTGCTCAAACATTCTCGGTCCCGACGTGATGATTTGCCTCAAACGACATCGAAAGCAGACATTCATCAGAGGAAGGTTATGCTCTCAGTGTGATGGGATTTTAAAGGTGTGTTTTTCAAGCTTCTACCAAGGAACCAAACAATTCGAATGTGTACTGTTAGCAATTGGACAGTTTGAATGAATCCATCACCCAGAAACATCCAGAGCTTGTTCATTGTAAAAGAGTTGTGTTCCATCGCGACAACGCGAGACCACACACAAGTTTGATCACCCATCAAAAATTATTGGAGCTTGGATGGGATGTGTTGCCATAATACTCGCCTGACCTTCCGCCGTCAGACTTCCACTTGTTTCACTCTCTTCAAAACTCCTTGCGTGGTATAACGTTCAAGTCAGATGAGGCTGTAAATCAGCATCTTGTTCAGTTTTTCGCAAATAAAGACAGGTCCTTCTATGAGCGAGGAATTATGAAGATCACTGAAAGATGGCAAAAGGTTAGCAAACAAAACGCGCAATATATCATTGATTGATCTTTGTTCTTTATATAAATAAATGATCTTTGAAAAACATAGACAAAATACGTCATGACTTTTCCGAAGACCCAATATTTGTTAAGGGTGCACATTTTGCCATTAGCTGAAACATCACATTGGGGGATATATACATACATACATACATACATGCATACATACATACATATATGTATATATACCGTGCTATGCCTGAAACATGTATTGTGACCGCTCAGAGTTCCCATCACAAAGAAAGTAAGATGCTATATTTTCTGCTTTGCATGAAAACAGTTGCTATGATTATGCTGAGAGCGTGTTTGCTTCTCTACCCAGCCCAACTACCATCTTCTTCCTTCCAGTTAGTTCCAGTCCATCCTGGATTTCTCACTTTGGAGGTCTATGATCTGTGCTTGGCTTTCTTGGGTCCAGCAGTGGCCCACCTCACGGTGTCAAACATACAGGAGCTGGAGCTTGATCTGATCGATAAGGTGAGAGACACGTGCTTTATCTCGTGAACGAAGCCAGCCTCATTCTCCCTCTGTAGCATATCACTTAACACAGTCTCTGCTCGGCTCCTGTGTGTGTGTATACCAGGACCTTCAGTGCTGGAATTGGAAATACCTGCCCTTAAAGGACATTCAACATGAAGATAATAACACAGTACACATAGATTAGTCTTATTTGAACAAAGGCTGACCAGGAACATTTATTATAGCATGAACAAACTAGTTTGCCACCCTCTCATAAGAGTTAGGCTGTCCTTGGTGAATGAGACACCTCTGCTAAAATTACCTATTTTCTTCTTTTAACTACCAGGTTGAAATCGGTAAAACTGGGTTAGTAACTCTGAGGGTTCTCGGCTCTTCCAAACGCCCATTCCAAAATAAATACTTCAGAAACATGGAGCTCACGCTACAGCTGGCTTCTGCCATTGTCACCCTGACGTGAGTAC